CCCTAACCCGTAACCCCTAAACTCTATAAACCTCAAACCTTATAAACTCTGAACTCTACACCCCAAACCCTAAACCCTAAACCTAAACCCTATAAACCCTAAACCCTAAACCCTAAACTCTACACCCCAAACCCTAAACCCTAAACCCTAAGCCCCTAAACCCTAAACCCTAAACCCCTAAACCCCCTAAACCCAAACCCCTCAAAAAGCCCCAACGCGCGGGGGGCCTCGAAGCTCAGGTCCTGGAGCTCTCCCAGCGCGTTGTCCGACAGGTCCAAGGTCCGCAAGCGGAGCAGTTTGCCTTGGTACGGCTGTATCGGTTTAGGGTTTAGGGTTTAGGGCTTAGGGTTATAGGGTTATAAGTTATAGGGTTTAGGGTTTAGCGTTTAGGGCTTAGGGCTTAGGGTTTAGGGTTTAGGGCTTAGGGTCTAGGCTTAGGGTTTAGGGTTTGGGGTTTAGGGTTTAGGGTTATAGGGTTTGGGGTTTAGGGCTTAGGTTATAGGGTTTAGGGTTCAGGGCTTAGGGCTTAGGGTTTAGGGTTTATGGTTTAGGGCTTAGGGTTTAGGGTTTAGGGATATACGATTTAGGGCTTAGGGTTATAGGGTTTAGGGGTTTAGGGTTTAGGGTTTATATAGGGGCTGTAATGTAAGGGCTTCAGAATTAGAATAGGGCTTTGGAGAATATTATACAAAAAACTACTATACGGAACCCCCCAGAATACTGTTGGTAACTGTTTAGGCTTTTACATTAGGGCGTTAGGGCTTCAGGGGCTTAAGGCTCAGGGGGTTTAGCGGTTTAGAGGTTAGGGCTTCGGGTTGTCCGGGGTTTTGGAGGCATTAGCTTTTGCAAATGAAACTGGAACCTCAGGCCGCAACGGTTTAGGGTTTAGGGTTTAGGGCTTAGGGGCATAGGTTTTGAAAGAGCAAAGGTTTCGGGTTTCGAGCTTGCCCTTATACCCCTTCACAGGAAGAGTTGAAGGAACCCTCAAGACTACACGTGAATCTTTTACCCACTCGCTCCAATGGCCTCGCGAGCCTTTCGAATCTTGTTCGGGTACAAGACTCTTGGGAAAAGCGTTTGGTGTTTAGGGTTGCAGGGTCTGTTTTTCAGTGCAAACAGAGCCAGAAAGGAAACAAACAAAACCTGCACCCCAACCCTGAACCCTAAACCCTAAGAGTGCTTCGAGATACCGATGTCGGGAACTGCTGTGAGGCTGACGTTTCCTCAGCCGCGGCATAGCTGTAAAGGTTTTCCCGTAAGTTTTGGAGTTCAGGGTTTATGGCTTAGGGCTTCAGGCTTAAGGTTCAAGGCTGTCCCTGCAACTAAGGCGGGAAAAGATCCTGGCAAGCTTATCCCGCATTCAACCTGCAGAAATGTGGAAAGGGATACAGAACAGAATCAGGACCCGAGGCCCGACAAATCCGTTCTCCGCTTTGAGCTATGCACTGTCAGTCAAAGTTCAGCAATGCAGCAATTAGGTCCTGGGGGTAGCAGCTGTGAAGTCTTGAAATGCCAAATCCCAGTGCTAAACTAATATGGTTCTGAAATGGAATACGGTTGACATTGGGATGTGGCGTATATAGCACCTTCATTAGAAGTGCGGTTGCCGCTTCATTCTCACCACCAGTCCTGCTACAAGTATATCTCCACTCAAGCCCCAACACCAACGGGTACTTCCTTTTAACAAAAATCCTTCTCCCCATACATCTCAACAAGACATGTTGACACCACGATCCTGCGTGCTATGGTAACCTAACACTACTTGCTGGGGGCTTCCGCCCTCCAACTGCTTGAAGCCTTCGGGGCGTGGGGCTTACAAGGCTTATGCTCCTTTTGCCTAGGGTTGAGGGTTTAGGGCAAGGTCTCTGGTAGATGTAAAGCCACCTCTCGTACCCTGAAATGTGGCCTGAACAATTGGAAATGAGCAGGTCGGACACTTCGGCTTCCATGAAGGGCTGTTGGCTCAAGTTGACCTTTTGGAGGTTTCGTGATCTGGACCTCAAACCTAGACCACTTTGGGGTCAAGATATAGAGGCCTGAATCCTGAATGAGTAGCAGCAGATTCCCCTAGTACCCTTTATTCGATTTACTGGGGCCCCCGTATCAAGAAAAAAGAAGCTATACCAACCCCGGTCTAGTCATCCGGGCCTCCATACTATATTAATTACTTCCGCTTCCGAATGTTCAACCTGACCCTGAAAGTAGTGGATCTAGCACATTGGGTTTCAGCCCAAAGCCCTTGCGCATAATTATTCCTGCATCATGACATTAAGCCCTCCGCAACATAGTTTACTATACTTAAAGCGCTGTGGGCTCGCTGCCGCGCCACGGAGCAGAAGGTTTCGCAAGCTTATCAACGGGCGGAAACTCTTGGAAGAGAATATCGAAGAGCTGCCAAGGGGATTGGAGCCTGGACTCCAATGAGTTTAGGGTTCGGCTTAGGGTTAGGGTTTTGGGTCCGGCTCAGGGGAGTGGAGGGCTTATGGCTTCGGGATTGAGGAAGTGTGGGAGTTCAACCGGGGGTCTGTGAATACGGATCCTTATCGAACTTGCAATAAAAACAAATACATGCATGTTTCGTGTACAGTCAGTATGTATGTATGTATGTATGTATGTATGTATGCCTGTATGTATGTATGTCCATATATGTATGCATGCATACATACATACATACATACATACATGCATACATGCATACTTACATTACATTACATTACACTACATTACATTACATTACATTACATTACATTACATTACATTACATTACATTACATTACATGACATGACATGACATGACATTACATTACATTACATTACATGCATGCCTGCATGCATACATACTTACACACATACATACATGCATACATACATACATGCATACATACATACACAGTATGCATGCATGCATGTATGTATGCATGTATGTATTTGGAATGCATGTATGGAAGCATGTGTGCATGTACGATCAGCACCCCTTTGTTGTCTTGTACGCGGGTTAGGCTAAGTCTAGATCTAATCCGCGTTCTTATGCACGCATGCATGTGTGTACGCATGTAACTGTATGTATGTAGGTAGGTATGTATGTAAGTATGCATGCATGTATTTATGTATGTATGTAAGCATGTCTGCATACAAACGCGTACATACACACATACATACATACATACATACATACATACATACATACATGCATGCATGCATGCATGCATGCATGCATGCATGCATACATACACACATACCTATATACAAAGAATACATATCGTGTGTGTGTGTGTGTGCGCGTGGATGTACCTGAACTAAATGATATATATATATATATATGTATGTATATGTTTGTGTGTGTGCCGGCGTGTGCAAGTGTATATGTGTGTATTAACACACACACACACACACATATATATATATATATGTACATACATACACATATATATATATACACATGCATACATATATATATATATACAAACCTGCATGTATGTTTATATGAATGAATATATGTATGTGTATGTATGTACGTCTGTATGTATGTATGCGAGTAGGTATACACATTTAACCCAGTCTCTGGGCAACAGTGTCGAGAGAACTAAGGGTTTGAGAAATTCTGGCTTTCGAGGTCCAGGGTTTGGGAGTTGCCAAAGAGACTACCGCAAAACTCTGAAAACTACCACCAACATAACCAAGAAGCTGGATGTAACGAACGAAGAAAAGGCCCGGATCCCGCTGAAGGCCCAAGCCCGCAATCCCACAACAGTGCGGGGTGTGCGTATAGAGCCAGCAAGACAAAAAAAAAAGCGCAGCGGCGCTCCGCAGAGCGCTGCTTGCCATGGGGTTTTGCAGTGTAAGGTTTGGGCTTCACGGCGCAGGATTTCGAGTTCAGGGTTGAGGGTTTAGCGTACGGGCTTTCTGCGCAACCTGCAAGACCTTAAATCCTCAACCCTAAACTCCCTAACCCCTCAACCTAAACCCGAACTAAGCCCCCTATACTCTATACCCCTAAACCCTAAACCCTAAACCCTAAACCCTAAACCCTATACTCTATACCAAGGGAAAGGTGCTGAGGTCGACGGTCTCGAGGTTGATCAAGGCCGGTACCACGCCAGTAGCGGCTCGAAGGCGATTCCTTGAAGGTTTCGCGCTTTCGGAGTTTAGGACGTCGGAATGTTGGGCTTATGGAGTATAGGATATAGGGTTCGGCGCTTGGGATTTTTGAGTTTCGTTTAGGATGTGGGATTTCTCGGCGTAGGGGCTTTAGATGTACAGGGCTTGTAAGGGATTGAGGGACTGAAGGCTTTAGAGTCAGGGTTTAAGAGTTTAAGGGTTTAGGGTTTAGGGTTTTAGGGTTTAGGGTTTTGGGGTTCAGGGTTTTGCGGTTTAGGGTTTTGGGGTTTCGGG